AGATTAAACGACATGCTCCTGAACACTCAATGGGTTCATTAAAGAAGAAATCAAAAGAGAAATTAAAAAAAAAAACCTTGAGACAAATGAAAATGGAAATGGAACATACCAAAATTTGTGGGAATCAGCAAAAGCAGTTCGAAGAGGAAAGTACATAGTAATAAATGACTACCTCAAGAAACAAGAAAAGTCTCAAGTAAACAACCTAACTTTACACCTCAAGGGACCAGAAAAAAAAACACAACAAAGCTCAAAGCTAGTAGAAATAAAGAAATAACAGAGACGAGAGCAGAAATCAATGAAATAGAGGTTTAAAAGACAACAAAAAAGAGACGCCCGGGTGGCTCAGTCAGTTGAGCGTCTGACTCTTGATTTTGGCTCGGGTCATGATCCCAGGGTCGTGGGATGGAGCCCTGGGTCAGGCTCCACACTGAGCACGGAGCCTGCTTGGGATTCTCTCTCTCCCTCTCTCTCTCTCTCTCTGCCCCACCGCCGGCATGCGTGCATCTGCTCTCTCTCTCAAAATAAACAAGTAGACATTAAAAAAGATTAACATCTTAAAAATAAACGATAAAAGACAACAGAAAAGATCAATGAAACAGTTGAGTCTTTGAAAAGATAAACAAAGTTGACAAACATTTAGCTAAACTCACCAAGACAAGAAGAGGAAAGACTCAAATAAATAAAATCAGAAATAAAAAAGGAGTTGTGAAAACAGTACCACAGAAATACAGGATCATAAGAGACTGCTATAAACAACCATATGCCAACAAATTGCACAATCTAGAAGAAATGGATAAATTCATAAAAACATGTAACTTACCAAGACTGAATCATGATAAAAATTTAAAAATCTGAACAAATCAATTACTAGCAAGAATAATGAACCAGTAAGCAAAAACCTCCCAACAAACAAAAATCCAGGACCAGACGATGTCATAGGTGAATTCTTCTAAACACACAAAGAAGAATCAATACCAATCCTTCTCAAACTCTTCGAAAAAATAGAAGCGGGTGGGGCGGGGTGGGGACTTCCAAACACATCTTACAAGGCTAACATTACCCTGATACCAAAACCAGACAAGGATGCCACAAAAAAAGAAAATTACAGGTCAATATCCCCAATGAGCATAGACGCAAAAATCCTCAACCAAATATTAGCAAATTGAATTTAACAATACGTTAAAAAGATCATACACCATGATCAAGTGGGATTTACTCTAGGGACGCAAGAATGGCTCAACATGCACAAATCAGTTAGTGAGATACACCACATGAATAAAATGAAGGATAAAAATTTGTCCTTCCAAAAATATTGATCATCTCAATAGATGCAAAAAAGCAGTTGACAAAACTCAACATCCATTTATGATAAAGACTCTCAACAAAGCTGGTATACAGGGAACATATCTCAACATAATAAAGGCCATATATGACAAGCCCACAGCTAACTCAGTGGTTATCATACTCAATGGTAAAAAAGCTGAAACCTTTTCCTCTGAGATCAGGAACAAGACAAGGGTGTCCACTCTTACCACCTTTATTCAACATTGTGTTGGAAGTTTTTGCCAGAGAAATCAGGCAAGGAAAAGAAATAAAAGGCATCCAAATTGGAGAGGAAGAAGTAAAACTGTCACTCTTTGCAGATAACCTAATTACATACAGAAAACCTTAAAGACTCTATCAAAAAACGAGCTCAATACAGCCACAGGATACAAAATTTGCACACAAAAATCTGTTGCATTTCTTTATATTTATAACAAACTATCAGCAAGAAAAGTTAAGAAAACAATCCTATTTAAAATGGCATCAAAAAGAATAAAACACTAAGAATATATTTAACCAAGGAGTTGAAAGACATGTATATTGACAACTATAAGATATTAATGAAAGAAATTGAAGAAAACAAATAAATGGGAAGATGTTCCATGCTCATAGATGGGAAGAATTAATACTGTTAAAACGTCCATCTTACCCAAAGCAATGTACAGATTCAGTGCAATCCCTATCAAAATTCCCATGATATATCTTTTTTACAGAAATAGAACAAACAATCCTAAAATTTGTGTGGAACCACCAAAGTCTCGAATAGCTTAAGCATTCTTGAGAAAGAAGAACAAAGCTGAAGGCCTCACACTCCCTGATTTCAAACTGTATTACGGAACTGTAGTAGTCAAAACAGTATGGATTTGACATAAATACAAACACACAGATCAATGGAACAGAATGGAGAGCCCAGAAGTAAATCCATGCACATAGAGTCAACTAATTTATGACACAGGACTATACAATAGGGAAAGGACAGTTTTTTCCAGTAAATAGTGCTGGGAAAATTGAACAGCCACACACTCACAAGAACGAAAATGGACCCCTATCTTACACCAGACACAAAAGTTAACTCGCAGTGGATTAAAGACTTGAATGTAACACCTGAGGCCATAAAAGTCCTAGAAGATAACATAAGCAGTAAGCATCTTGACTAGGTCTTGGTGGTGATCTTTCTGAATCTGACACCAAAAACAAAAGCAACAAAGCAGAAATAAACCAATACGACTATATATCAGCAACTGAAGCTGTCCTGTGAGCTCTTCTAAGGCCTTAGCTTTAGTTCTCTCTCAATCTCTGTTCATTCGGCAAATATATATTGAATACTCAATATGCCATGCCCTGTTCTAAGTGTCCCTCTGTGGTGCAGTGTCCAGTCTGGATCCCCAGGCAGATTGTGAACACCATCAAGAGGGAATCTTTATGTACTTGGCCTCCAACACAGGGCCTGTGCGTGGTGGATCCTCAAGAAAAAGTCAACCTACTGAATGGGAGAAAATAATTGTATATCTTACATCTGATAAGGGGCTGAAATCCAAACTACATAAAGAACTCACACAACTCAATAGTAACAAAAATCTCATTAAATAATGGGCAGATCTGAATAGACATTTTTCCAAAGAAGACTTACAGATGACCAACAGGCACATGTAAAGAGACTCTGTATCATGAATCGTCAGCAAAATGCAAACCCAAACCACAATGAGATATCACCTTACACCTGTTAGAACAGCTATTATCAAAAAGATAAGAAATAACAAGTGTTGGGGCACCTGGGTGGCTCAGTGGGTTAAGCGTCTGACTTCAGCTCAGGTCATGATACAACCTCTTGGTTGCAAGAGGTGGGGATGGGGATGGGAGAAATAGATGAACAGTTTTCTTTCTAACTTAAATCAATTGAATTAAAAATTTTATTTATTTTTTTATGTTTATTTTTGAGAGAGAGAGACAGAGCACAAGTGGGGGAGGGGCAGAGAGAGAGGGAGACACAGAACCTGAAGCAGGCTCCAGGCTCCCAGCTGTCAGCACAGAGCCCAATGCAGGGCTCGAACCCATGAACCGCGAGATCATGACCTGAGCCGAAGTCAGATGCTTAAACGACTGAGCCACCCGGGGCAAAAAGAATGGCAAAAAGACATAAATAGGCATGGACGATGAAATATGGATGTCCAATGAACATTTTAAAAGATGCTCAGTCTCATTTGTGATAAACTAAATGCAAATTAAAATCACAATGCAACACCATTTCACACCTCACAGTTGGGCAAACTTAAAAGCAGCAATAAAGGGGCACCTGTGTGGCTCAGTCGGTTAAGTGGCCAACCTCAGCTCCCGTCATGATCTTGCAGTTTATGAGTTTGAGCTCCACATTGGGCTCTCTGCTGTCAGCACAGAGCCTGCTTTAGATCCTCTGTCTCCCGATCTCTCCCCTTCTCTCTCCCTCTCTCTCTGTCTTTCTCTGTCTCTCTCTCTCTCAAAAATAGATAAATAGACTTTAAAAAACACGACAATTAAAAAGTTGACTCAGCTGTGGAATAACAGGACCCGTCATTCCCTATTAATGAGAATATCAACTCTTTGTGGTTACATAGTATAGCTGGACCATTACATATCCTATGTTTCATTAACTCTTATCCAAGGCATAGAGCAGATAAATGTGAACCACTTCCATAAAAGCAAAGAATGAGTAACACTCAAATATCGATTAACAGTAGATTGGATAGATTTTGAATTTTTTTTGATTTTAGAATATTTGAAGGATGGATTACTAAATACTAAAAACAAATCAATTGCATGCATCAACATGGGTGAATTTCAGGAACCAATATTGAACACAAAGTAAAAATGACATCACAAATGAATAATCACTGTGATTCTACTCACATAGAGGGCTAAAAGGAAAACCAATGTATTGTTTAGGAATACATATGTATGTGAAAATCTAATGAAAGCAAGGGAATGTCATAGAGTTGAGATACACAGAGGAATTATAATGTTCTATTTCTGAAGCCAGATGCTGAGAATAAAGGCATTTGTTTTAGTATTGTTCTACACACACACACACACACACACACACACGCACGCGCACGAAGTAGGCTTCATTTATTTTTGTTGATTCGTCATAGTCTCCCTTACTAGACTCAAGCTCCAGGGGATCTGGGACTATGTCATGTTCATGGCTCTATCCCCTAGAGCATCCTGATATAGAAAAGCACTCGAAAATTTTTTAAAATTTTGAGGTGGATACTAATATGGGTCCTGACTCAGAGATGAGAAACCCGAAGCCAAGAGAGGTTAATATGCCCAAGGATCAAGAGCCTGGAGGTGGCAGAGCTGGGATTTGAACCCAGGTCTGACCAGTTCCAGAGCCCATATTCTTCCCTAGAAGAGGTTGGCTTGTTGTGATGAGTACTTTCCTTCCTCCCTCCCCTGTTATCAGCTGGCCATTCAATGCCACCTGTGTGGCCACAGGTTGGAGGGAAATTTGGTCTTGCTGTTGGCTGTCATTCCCCCATGTGCAGCAGGTGGGGGCCATGGCCTTGGACCATGAGAGAGCTGACGTTCTACCACCTGTTCTGGGAATGGGGCCCAATCTGCCCTTCCTCCCACGTATCCTTTCTGCCCTATATTAGAGCCCCCAGGCTAAGCGTGTCTTTCCTATCATCTCAGACCTCATGATGCTCCGGCTGCTGAGTTCCCTCCTACTTGTGGCCCTTGGTAAGACCCCAGCCTGTGCTGCACTGGGCTAGGAGCCTTTGAAATCTGTCACTCACCTCGGGTCTCATGAACCCAACACCTGGTTCCACAGGAGGGGGGGGTCTCCGCTTATACCTGGGTATGATTGTAGGGGCTTCAAATTTGGTGGGGGGCAGAAGAATGGAGGGGGAGCCATGGATAGATGAGCTCAGGAGAAAGACTGGTGTACCCAAAGCACTGTGGTGGGACTCATCAGTGGGGACAGTAAAAAAGTCTAGTCATGAGGAGTTTGGGCTCTGTGGTTAGACTGCTTGGGTTGGAATTTCTGTTCCTCTGCTTAGCCCTCCAACTCTCCTCTCCCTCCCCCAACCCCACTCCGTATCCTGTGGTCTAGCCTTTTCTGCCATATTATATTCCAGCTCAGGGCCACCTCCTCCAAGCTGCCTCCCTTGACTGACAGTAATAATGACAGATAATGTTTATTGAGCGCTTACTATATACCAGGGAGAATGCTAAGGATTTTTTCTCATCATATTATCTCTCATAAGCCTTACAACAGGCTCGTGTGATCAGTTCTGTTATTATCCCCATTTTACAGATGGACCCTCAGAGAAGTAAAGAACCCCCCCCCCCGCCAGAACTAGGAGCAGAGCTGCATTTTGAACCCGGGAGTCTTACTCCAAAGCCACCACTTTTCATGACAACAAGCTATCACTTCTTAAGAGTTCATTGGGCACCAGGCACTGTTCTAAGTGCATCAGCCCCTTCAATCCTGCCATGGAAGGAGGTCACATCTCCATCCCTAGACTCCTGGGACTCTGGAGGCCCCTATTCTAGTCCAGATGTTCACTGTTCATGGGTGGCTATGGAGGTCCAGAGAGGGGGAAGCACTTACACCAGGTCACACAGCCAGCTTGTGGTGCATCTAGAATCGGGACCCGGGCCTCTTTGCTTTGGGGGACTCTCTGGCTCACTGATGCCTGCACTCTCCTTTCCAGCCTCGGGCTGTGGCCGACCTTCCTACCAGCCCTCCTCCCGTGTTGTCAACGGTGAGGACGCAGCCCCCTACAGCTGGCCCTGGCAGGTAAGACCAATGCCAGCTGCGCTATTTCTCACCGTGGGCTCTGCACTCTGTTCTGATTGCAAGGCATTCGGTCTCGACCCCACTGCTTTGCTTCCGGTAACCTCTGCAGCTCGCCAAGGCCAGGAAACCCTTGGACAGTCCACTCGGCGTGGAAGTCTTGCCCATCCAACCTGTGACCCTCCCTGGGCTGTTTGCATGTTAATAGTGAAATCTGGAGAGAAGGAAATGTTTGGCCCAAGGGTTGGTGCACTAACAGTGGAATTTCGGGCACTGTGTTTAGGGATGGAGGTTTTGGGGTCCTCATTACTAGACTCCTCAAATTACACAGCAGGGTTATAAGGTCTGAGAGCACTAAAGGAAGGAAGGGCTTTAGAGAGGTCAGTGAGGCACAGAGGGCTAGACCTGCTTCCGTGACACGGTAGTCACCAGCCACAGGTCTTTATTTAATTTTAAATTAATTACAATTAAACAATGTTAAAAATTCAGCTGCTCCATGCTAGCCACATTCAAATTCTCAACGGCCACATATGGCTAGCGGCTACCACGTTGGACAGCCGAGACAGAGAACATTCCCACCGTCACAGAAAGTTCTCTTGGATGGCATTGGTCTACAGCATCGTCAGCTAACTTGTTCTGGGAAGGACCAGGGAGTAAAATATTTTAGCTTTTGTCAGCCATGTGGTTTCTATTGCAGTGACTTAACTCTGCCATTGTGGTATGAAAACAGCCATAGATGATACAGTCATGTGGGTTGAACACTGCACATTTCTGGAGGAGGCCACTCTGCATGAGTGATGCCCTCTAGAGTTGTCCAGTGCACAATCTATACAGTCATGGATATCAGCCCTCATTGTAGGGCCCAGACCACTTAGGCTCCTCCCTCCTTGTCACCAGGTCTCCCTGCAGTACGAGAAGAGTGGAGCCTTCCACCACACGTGTGGCGGCAGCCTTATCGCCCCCGACTGGGTCATGACCGCGGGCCACTGCATCTCGTAAGTGTTTTTACTTGCCCCTGTCCCTGCATGAGAACCGGGCAGGTGGTGCGTAGCTGTGGGAGGGGAGGGAAGGAGCCCAGTCGGGCCCAGACTGACCTGACCTCCTCCACTGGCAGGAGCTCCTTGACTTACCAGGTTGTGTTGGGCGAATATAACCGGGCTGAGGAGGAAGGCTCCGAACAGGTGATCCCCATCAATGCTGGGGACCTCTTCGTGCACCCACTCTGGAACCCCAACTGCGTAGCCTGTGGGTGAGTGGACTCTCAGGCCTGGGACCCAGAGGTTACTGGTCTCTCTGTGACCCAAAGATAATTCTGAAGAGACCCCCAGTGACAGCGGGGCTGGGTCCAGCAGCCTGGGCCCACGTCCCACACACTGAGGGTCAGAGCCAGGAGAGCCTTGAAGGAGCATCTCCCCGAAACTCCTCTCCCTGTGGAAGGACAGCAGGGCTCAGGGAGGGCCAGGAACTCCCCCGAGGCCACTTGGCTAGTTGGCTTGAACCCAGATCTCCTCTGGCACCCCCGCTCCCAAATCCAAGGGTTCCTCCGTTCGACAGACATTTGTCCAGTGCAGCCTGGGTTCCCAGCACTGTGGGAAAAAGGAGGAGCACTGGACCCAGAGTCAGCCTCCAGCACTAAGTTGCTGGGTGCCTTGGGCAAGTCACTGCCCTTCTCTGGGCCTCAATTATACCATATGTTGAGGGTGACTTTCCTGGCTTCCTGAGTGGTTTGAAGGACAGGGAGGCAGTCACCGGGTGAGAACACTGAAGCAGGGCTTCCCAAGGCCCTCAAGCACGTACAAAATCATGTGTCTGGGGGGCCCAGCATTTTTCTGGTGAGGGTCAAAGAAGGGTGCAGAACCCTTGAAAGTGCGGTGTAGGAGAGAAGGGCCATGATGATCGTGACCTCGACCCATCCTCACGGGACTCCTGCGGTACGCGGAGAGGAAAGGGGACCCCAGGTACGATGATTCGAGTGACAAGCAAGCAGAGGAAGACCCAGAACAGGGGTTCTTGAAGGGTGGTCCCCAGGCCATCAGCATCGCCTGGGAACTTGTTGGCAATGTGAGTCCTCGGGCCCCACCCCCGGACCCACTGCCTCAAGAACCCTGGGGTGGGCCCCAGCAACCCGTGTTTTAACAAGCCCTCCGGGATCCTGGTGCAGCTGAAGTGTAAGGACCATAGTATAAGAGCCAAGGACAGCTAGGAAGGCCGAGGGTCAGCATGGGTGCCGGGAGCAGGGGGCGGGGGGCAGGGAGCCTCCTAAAGTTGCTCAGCCCTAAGAACGCCTGTGATTTGGAGGAAAAGGAGCAGCGGGGGCATCCTGGAGGCGAACTCTCTGTTGCAAAGGCTGAGAGGTGGGGCTTGGTCCGGCTGGAGGACCAGGCTCCCCTGACTCTTTCCTCTTCCCCAGCAATGACATCGCTCTCATCAAGCTGTCGCGCAGCGCCCAGCTGGGAGGCGCGGTCCAGCTCGCCTGCCTCCCTCCCGCTGGTGACATCCTGCCCAACGGGGCTCCCTGCTACATCAGCGGCTGGGGCCGGCTCCACAGTGTGTACCGACCCCTCCCACCGGCCACAGGGACTGGGGGCCGGGGGTCGAAGGCAACCACGACACATCCTTGCACTTGTCCTCCTTCGGGGGCACCTCCCCTCCCCCCCT